ATGTGTGTGTATGTACATTATCAAATTAAACTACATAGATGTATATTATTTCAATTATTATTTAATACATTTAATAATTTATTAAATAAAATAAATATAAACATGAGAAATTACATAAAAATATTTAAATTATTAAATTAAACAATATAAATTTATATTATTTAAATTATTATTTATTACATTTATTACATTTTATACAATTTATTAAATAAAAATATATTTTAAAAATTACATCATAAAAATATAAATTATTAAATTAAACATTATAAACTTATATTATTTTAATTATTATTTATTACATTTAATAATTTATTAAATAAAAATAATATAATTAATGACAAATTACATAACAAAATCTGTATATATATATATATATATATATATTCATTCAATACATATATTAATTTATATGTGTGTGTGTGTGTGTGTGTGTGTGTAAGAAATATGTAAAAAACAAGTAAAATAATTAAATATGTAAAATAATTATATAATTGTATAATTATAGCCTTTACATATGTAATATAAATACATATAGCCTTTAATTTCTGCTAAAGCAATTAAAATAATACACATAGATTTTTTCCACATTACAATAACACGAGCAGATTTTTATTTCACACACACAGAAATAACATTTAGCAGATTTTGAACTTACATTCACTCACTGAAGGATTTCTTGGAGTGTTTCGATCAAAGGAGCAGAAACGTCATCCGTTAATAACAATGGATGCAAACGGGCCCCTGCGCTGCAGGACGGGGCCTCCACAGCTTTATGCTGAAGCAGGGCCGGAGCAGATCCTCCATTGTGTTCGCTTTCAGGAGGAGGCGCGTCTCTTTGATTTATTTGTGACTGAAACAACAACGGACGTTCAGGGGCCCAGATGAGCACATACACATACATGAAACACACACACACTACTATAGGGCTTCAGAGGGTCCAGCGCTTCTGGGGATCATTTTTGTAAAGCGTTTCCCGGTATTCAGGAAAACAATGATGGGAACGGCAAGCTAGTATGACAAAGATGTATATATATACAGTACTGTAGTGAACATAGAAAAACAAATACTATATTATCATCCAGCTCTAATATGATAAATGCGACTATAAGGCATGAAGATATTACGATGTTATAAACATTAACATCGTGATTTTTTTTGTAAAGCTGTTTTGAAACAGTATTGTGAAAAGTGCTTTATAAATAAATGTGAATGACATCTTAGCTCTGAAGGATAAATTTGGGGAAACATCATAGGCTCATCACAGGATGAGGGTTACCATCGACACACGTCACACACAGCCTTTACCTGAGCTCTCTGAGATCATGTGATGCAGAAGAACCCAGCTCTACCTCTTCACAGGTTATCAGAGACACAACAATCAGGAACATCAGGAACGCCGTTACCATGGTTACCCATGACCTCCATGCATCCCATAATAACACTCATCTCTCAGTGACGAGTGTGTCCGGACCAACAGCAGCACCCCATCATCTAAATTACAGACAGTACTGATTAATTGCATTTGATTTGAATTTGAATTGAATGTTATTAAGAGAATGTGTGTGAACATCATGATCATGAGTCAGTAAATGAGCTGGAGTAACGCTGCCCTCTGCTGGACAGGTGAAGAGAAGCGGCAGACTCCTGAACAACAACAACACACTTACTCATATGTCAGCTGTGCAGTTTTGCTTTTGTTTTTATATATATATATATATATTCACTATTGTGAATGATAAAAGAGTTTGGACACATTTGATGAAATGCATGAACTAAAAGGATTTTAAGATCATTAGAAACATAAATGTAGTCGTTAGAAACATACATTTAAATTTAATTATCATGTAATATAAATTGTCTGTATTAATTACTTTACAAAATGTAAATACCAATACATCCCAGCTCACAAAAATATTAACATAACTTAGCATTCCCATTAAGATTGTTATGAACGTTCATGATTTAAACGTTTAAAAAACGTTTCTTTTTGGTTCTGTGAATGTTAAAGACTATATTAAAGGGATAGTTCGCCCAAAAATGACAATTCTGTCATGATTTGCTCCTTCTCCTGTATGAGTTTCTTTCTTCTGTTGAACATAAAAGAAGATATTTTGAAGAAGGTTGGTAACCAGACAGTTGGCGGTAGCCATTGACTTCCATTGTATTTTTTCCCCAATGTATGTCAGTAGGGACCAGTATCAGTTTTCAAAATATCTTCTTTCATGTTCAGCAGATGAAAGAAACCCATAAAGGTTTGGAACAGCTTGAGAGTAAACGATGACAGAATTGTCATCTTTGGGTGAACTATCCCTTTAAGGGAATGTTACATTTCATGATTTTGCAAATGTTCCGGGAACGTTACTTTTGAATGTTCTCTGAACCAGTAACATTTTTACATGAATGTCCAACTAAACATTCTGAGAACGTTTTTAAAGATCAGATAACTTTGAATGAGCATTCTGTTAATGTCACTGGAAGAACATTTGTTCATAACTTTCAAGAACCATTTGGCATTTTTCATCACTGCACTATTATTCTAACATTCTACTCCCCTGTAAATGCCGACTGCTCATTGGGAGTCCTGTGGGAGTCTCAAACAGAGCTCAGCTTGGACTTTGAGCAGGTAAACATGAACACAAGACTCTGAGTGACTAACGTGAAGCTCGTCACTGGTGTGTATTTTACTCTGGTCCTCCAGCTCATTAGGGTCTTGTTACCCTCGCAGACGTGGACTCGGCCTCATTTCTGATGATCATTGATCTCTGATAGTCTTATCAGCCTCATATAAAGGCATCCGGCTCAGTGTCTGTCGCACTGATAGACATTCAGCAAAAGCCTGAAGATGATGCCGGTGACCCAGCGTCTGCTCGTGCTGGCCGCTCTGCTGTCTCTGCTGCTGGCCTCACAGGTACATCACCTCACAATCACCAGTCTGACCCCATCAGAGACGAAACAGCTCACGAACACACAGGAACAACTGCTGCAGAAACCATTATCGTTGTCTTCCGGTGGATGTCAGACGTGCAGAAAATACTGAAAGTTTGAAATCGAATTTTTTTAATTAAACTTAATCATTATTCATATTCACTGTTTGTTTTGTTTATTCATATTTATTTTCTTTTTTTATACTTTTTTAATGTTTCATTGTAAAAAATGACCGTGAATTTAACGGTAAAAGACTGTAAAAATGCTACAGTAAAAACCTGTTAAATGGTTAACGGTAAATTCCCCTACTATATACGGTGAAAAACTGTATTGGACATTACATGTATTGGACATAAATTTTACGGTAGTATACCGTTTTTGGAAGTGAAAAATACAGTGTAATTTACAGTGAATAACCGTAAATTGACATTCCCAGAATTCCCTGCGTTACATTTCAAATTTTATGGGTTTTTTTGTTGAAATAACTATGTTTCTTAGTTTCTTCTTATCAGTTTTGTATATTAGGGTTGTGTGTTACACCTAATGTTGTTAAATTAATGTTTATTGCATTATTTCAGTTTCATGTGTGTTACCGTGATGGTGTTTAGTGTCTGTGTGAATGACGCTGTGCACCTTCTATATATGTTATCATTTAAAAGCTGCTTGTTTACCTGCATTTGGTGGTTATCAGTGTATTACAAAGCTACAAAACAGATTTCAGTACTTCAATAGGTTGGTATATTACCATTACATCAGTTAATGAAATTACGGTATTTAACTGTAAATTTAAGTTAAAACCGTAAAACCTAAAACGTTGCTACCATATTGTTTACGGTAAAATTCCGGCAACCACCGTTTTTTTACCGTAAATTTTAGTGTACTTTTTGGTCTGATTTCATTCAAATTTTCATTCTCGCCTGTAAAGCACTTTGAAGTGCATTGATTTGTTTGGAAAAGTGCTAAATAAATCAAATCTGATCGACTAGAAATGCTAGTAAATTTCACAAAGAATTACAAAGAATCGGCAAGTAACACATAGAATTAAACATGAAATTTTGAAGTAGAAAAACTGAAATAGTATTCATTTTCTTTTAAAATGTACTCCAATAATCTCTGTTTTACTTCAAGAAATTATTTTTTACATTGTAATATTGATAAAATAATACATTATAAAAGACAGCATCTACTATAATGTCATATATCTGTCTTTTATAATGTATTATTTTATTTTATATATATAGTGTAATTAAAGCCATGCACTTTAATTTGTGACTTTTAACATGCTTTTAATAAAGAGCTGGAAATTATCTTTAGCTTCTTTATCTGATTAAATCAAATCATTTGTTCAAATGTGGCATAGCCTATGTGAATGTATTTTCTTAAAAAGAAATATTTGAAGGCAAAAAAATGTTTAAATGCTTTAAAAAATATTATTATATTTTTACATATATTTTCAAAAATATTTTTAAAAATGGCCGAAATATTTTTTGTCAATATATTTTGAAACATACTTCAGTAAACATATTTTTTTGTATATTTAAAATATGTTTGAATTTTTTTTTTTTTTTGCCATATGGGTTTACTCTCATAAACTGCTAATAAGACAATAGTTAAGACAAAAGATCAGTTCTGCATATTGTCAGTCATAAAACACACCGTCAGCTGATCTGGAGTCAGATGCATGTGTGACTTGTTTCTAAAACAGGATCATCTGGTAATGTGCACGTGAAACTTTTCCTCCAGCTGGAATAACATGGATCTCATCTCATCAGTTTCCTGCGATTGTAAACTGATGCTGCGTGACGGACTGAAGCGAGTGTTTTATTCTACCTGCTGCTTTTGTTTGCACATGCACTGCAACACTTCTGTAAATCATTGTCTGGAGCTGCACAATGTCACTCGCAGAGCAAATGTTTGGGGCTTGACCGACCTTGACAGCTTTCTAAATTTAGAAGTTCGAGAGTCTAAATTTGTACATTTGGGACATAATTTACTTTCGAAATCACAATGAAGATTATTCATTAAACGTCTGCATATCATCTCAGTACAGAAGCCCATTTCTGCCATGGAATAATATATATATAGCCTATTTATAAAAGGTAACTGGAATTTTTCCTCACAATTCTCAGAAGAAATGTCTGAATTGTAAGATATACGTAAACTTACAACTGCAAGAATAAAAATTGTGAGATAAAAAGTCACAATTAAATTTTTTATTTTTTTTTTATTCTGTGAGACAAATTCAGAATTCTGAAAAAGGTCAGAATTGTGACTCGGAAATGCAGGAAAATAAGTCAGAATTCTGAGTCTAAAATATGAGATAGAAGTAGCAGTCTGTTTTTTTTGGGGGGGGGGGTTTAAAGCTAAAATTCTTTAAGTTGGCAACACTGGCCATGATGAGAGCTGAAGGTCTCAGTCTAACACACGCTGTCTCTCTGTCTGTCTGTAGGTCCAGGCGGCACCCATAGACACTGACTGGGCGGCTGGACTGATCCATCGGGCCAAGCGCTCGTTGCTATGGCGATGGAACACTCTGAAACCCGTGGGTTCTGGATGCAGAGATCATTATGAGTGCGGAACCAACTTCTGCAGGTGACCAACATCACCAAACACCGCACTCCTGCTCCCAAGAAGCTTCTGAAACTAAAGCTTATTGAAAAAAATCTTTTAAAAACTGAATACGCATGGTCCTTGTATATTGCATTCTTACATTTTTTTCAATTTAATATTGAAAGTAGATAACTTTGAAAATGGAAAACTTCAAAATTCGTTTTTACGTACAGGGGCCGAAAAAGGATACACATCTTAAATATTAAATTTCCACGAAAAATAAAGTCGAAAAAAAAAATTTCATTTATTTGAAGAAAAAAAAAAACAGAAAAAGCGCCATTTTCTAATTTTTCTGTCAATATTGAATGCAACCAGGCAGTAATACTTTGTTAATTTCTTAATGTTAGTTAACAAGAACTGACAATGAATACTACTTCTACTTCTACAGTATTTAGATTATTATTCTTAATGTTAATTTTAACATTTACTAATACATTTCAGTTTGTTCACATTAGTTAATGCTCTGTGAACTAACATGAACAATGGCATTTTATTAACTAAATTATTATATACATTGTATTATATTGTTAAATAGCCTAATTAAAAAATATAATAATTATAGAGGCCTACATTTAATTTATATCACATATTAAATCTAAATTTTCTTAACTATACAGGCCTATGTTGCTCTTTAGTCCATGTTAGCATTAACTAAAGTGAACAAATGAGAGCTTATTGTAAAGTGTTACCAAATATGCTGGTTATGGAAGTATTTCTATGAAAAGATTAGCAGACATGACCATTTAGAATATGAGAAGAGAGCGAACGGGATTTTTAAGAGTTTAAGTCGTTGCACAACGATAGATTGACAGTTTGTGACATGAGGAGGTCAACTTGAAGTTCACTTTCCTATATTTTTAGCCATCATCTTAAATGCTCATATGTTACCAACTAACACCACAAAACATGACAGAATTCATCAAATCAATTGATAATACTTACTGACAGGGCCGTTTCTAGCCAATTTGACGGCCTAGGCGAAATCCCTATTGCCCCCCCCCCCCCCCCCCCCCCCCCCCACATTATTATTATTATATTAATCATTGCACGTTGGCTGAAGAAAAAAAAAAAAAAAAAAAGTTAACCGTTGAGTGCTCCAAATGCAAACTTTGCATGCAACAATCAGGCAGCAATTGACAGCGCTCTGATCTAGTGGCATACAGGCATCGTCAGATGGACAGTACTCTAGCCCAATAATGTTGGGGGATCCAGTGGGGGCGGCAGTCATATTTCAGGGTGACCGTGCCACTCTTTATCACAACCCTGCTAAAAGTGCCAGTACGTGCGCTCATTGGCGCCCCTTCAGCTGGTGGCGACCGCCTAGCTCGCCTATGCCTAGAAATGGCCCTGCTTACTGATGTTAGATATTTTCCCACCAATAACTGAATGACGTCACTTCCTGCTGGAAGATGTTGGAAACATCTTTCAATGTTTCCAATGTAATCACGAAAAGACTTTCACACAGAAGCCTTAAGCTGTAAACACAGATAAGGTTTTATCACAAAAAAACATGCATGAATCAGCAACTCACACATTTTATATGTACTTTTTTTTTTAGGAGTGGCTTCCAAATTAACCTGCATACTTTCCCTGTCTTTCAGGAAACACACCTGCTCCTTCAATAAAGCTCAACAGGCATGACTGAGTCCAAATGATTATGGCACCAATTCAAATGATTGAAAACAAAATGGCTAAAATTGGGCATCCCTTGATTTCTCAAACATAATGACCTACATAAATCTGACAGAACATTCAAAGACAGCTGAAGACTTTAAGATCTACACCAACCTCAAGACTGTATTCAGCTGAATCTCACCAAGAAATGTCCAGGTCATATTAAACTCCAAAATCAGAAGCATTTTTGGCCTGAAATATGACCTGGTGTGTTTTTGACATATTCCCCCCTTCAGAAACCACTCAGGAACATATCTACAAGAACTCCAGTTTCATCATCGATGTTTTATAGTTGTACAGATCTTGATAACGTGTAAAATATTAATGTTGCATCTATAGTTTCTGATTCAGATTCAATGAGGCCGAGATGTTTGATCTGATAAAATACACACACGCATGGCAAAATAATCTGAAGCAAATGTATTTCATAATCAGCTGCAGCTTCCAGAAGAACTTTTACTTATTTTGTAAATATCAGACACACGAGATGGTGTAACATGCTTTTTTGTTAAAATGTTTTATTGTTTGTCTCATTTTTTTTTTTTGTTACATTGATAGTGCAATATTTTTTGAAGGAAAACAAACAAAAATGCTCGCATGATGAAATAAATGCATAAAAAAAAGAATCACAATCACAAACATCCTTTTTTAAACCTAAAACAGTTTGTTTTTTAGCAAACATCATCGCTGGGTCTTAATTCATGAATACACAATTGACATTATCATTTCACGATCATCATAATTATGAGATTTAATCAATATTTCCACCCTGGAATAAGTGCATTTACATTCAAGCTGAAGTGAAACTGATATCAGACCACAGTTTCAGATCAAACCCAGAAGCATCATGCATGTTCACTTCACCGAAACAAAACGATCAAAGCCTCAAATCTTACCTTTTCAAACTTAAAAAAACCCAAACACCTACAAGAATAAAACATGAAATGAATCAGGCAGGACATGAGGTTTAACAAACATAAACAAAAATAAAAACTAGCCATCCCTGACAGATCAATGCATGTAAATGAGCTAAACGAACACGGAATATGTTTGTGATACTGAAAGTTCAAGCTGAATCTTCTCAATGCTGTGGTAATACTGTGCTGGAGAAACCAAGAAACTCTTTATACTGCATATATAACACAGAACACAGAAAGCAAGGCTGTTATTCTAGAGTTTAAATCAGTGATTACGGTCAATTTATTGTAGTCATATGTCAGAAATATTGTAAAAGTGTTATTAATTGACTCTTGGTTTGCATCTAAGAAAATATGGCAGAGGAGAAAACAAGTGCAAATACAAACCAAGTCATTTGGTCATTTTAAAAATGTATTTAGTGATTTTAAAATGCATGTGGCAACATTATTGACTTGTCAGACTCATGTGAAGCAGACTAAAACGTACATAATTACTGAAATCAGCATGAATTAGCACCGCTGTCAGTTTATTTGCCAGATGCGCTCATTGCAGTTGCGTAAGTGTATTAATATAGTTGTGATGCATCTCGAGCGGTGATGTGTAATGTGTTGCATCACGTCTGCCGTCACTCTATTAGTGTTTTCTGATGTAATTGCAGTTTTTGGACATAAAACTCATTGGCTAATTTGGACACGCCTGCACTATTTAGTTCTGTGATGATCAGTTGTCTAAAGTATCGCATTAAATGCATTAAAAAAACACGTCTGCAAGTTCCAAAGGCCAGGTGACCTGAGACAAACTTTGCACTTTGAGTCGTCTGCCGCATACACCGATGCTCCTTGTACCTAATCAGGACTTGTGAAAATGAAATCAAGCTCAATGTCTAAACGCATGTTAGTTCATCATGACGTCCGGGGAGTTTTACGATGAAAGCAGGGGCTGCTGCTCGGAGCTCTGAGACAAAAAAAAGTTAGGAAAAGACATTAATAAACAGCAAATGCAGTAACAATCAGCATTGCATGTAGCCTTAATGGAGAAATGCAATCACAGAATGCATTGCATTGGAAAAAGTTGTTAAAACTGGACAATTTTATGCAATATTTATGTGTGCTGTGTGAAACAAATGTGACTCAAAATTTGACAATGTCAAATGTGACTCAAATGTGTGCGTTTCACATGCTATATGTATGAGGAATTATGGCTGATTATGTAGAAAGCTCAAAATCTATCACTTTTTTTGTGCCCTCCACTAATATTGGCACCATTTGTAAATATAAGCAAAGGCGGCTGTGAAAATAAATCTGCATTGTTTATCTTTTTAATCTTTCATTCTAAAAATTCACAAAATTCTAACCTTTCATTGAAGTCAAACAATGGAAAGTGGAGGGAAAATCTCAGTATGAAATAAATGTTTTTTCTTTAATGCATGTTGGCCACAATTATTGGCACCCCTAGAAATTCTTATGAGTAAAATAACTCTGAAGTATGTTCCAATTCATATTACTTTTTTTTTTAGCACACCAGAGTGACTAGGAGCGTGAAATTGTCCAGCCATGACTTCCTGTTCCACAGGATTATAAATATGAGGAACACAAAGGCCAAATTCCCTTAATCATCCATCAGACGTTTTAGTGAAGGAAGTGATGTGTGAGCCTCACCACTGGCCTCTGCTGTCGGCACATGAACACGATGAAGATGACGCCCAGTAAGATGCCCACACTGATCACTATGAAGGGGATGTTGACGATCACATTAGCCTTGGTAACCACCGCGTGCAGCTTCTCGGCAGATTCCTCGTCAATAACGACGCTCTGGAAAACAGGACAGCAGCGTTTAGAAGATAAGAAGAGACAGAAATGAAGAAAAACACTCTCGTATTTCCTGCTCAGTCCCTTTGAGTTCTGCTGGATGTCCTGTCTGATAATGTGAACTCAAAAGAACTGCTTTAGAGTTAAGATCTCATTCGATCTTTTTCATTTAGTGCACTTTTATACAGAAAAAAAATCATCTAATGCTGAGGTTTATAGTCCATAATGACGCACTATACACTATGCACTCATACACTATCTAATTATGCACTATGTACTCAACCATGTATAGTATGAATTATATAAGGTTATTTTGTCATTCATAATCAGAGTCTCATAGCTCCTCCCATTTCGGTACGTATTTAAAGCTGAGACAGTTGAGTGCATGAAGTGTCCAACATTGCACACTTCATTTTTTCAGGTTATTTAAGTGCATCATCCGGGTATTTAAAGTGCACTTTTTCTTTTTGGAATTTTCAGTGTTAATGCACTACTCACACTATTTATACTAGAAAACGTCACAGAATAGTGCATAAGTACGCGATTTGGGATGCACCTTTATTTTTATTTTTTTAATATGAGCCAAGCTGATGCAACCACATCTCTCTCGTTTACTCTTTCATGGCTTGTGTCATTCAAAGGTTAATATTATTTGCATCATGTTTGGACACTTTATCTGTTGCACCCTTCACCTAATTTTGCATCTCAACAAAGCAACAAATACACACGTGATGAAAAAGCTGAGACAGAAGTGCTTGATCCGTCTGGACTGCAGCAATAATCAGAGTTCAAATCAGCTAAGAAGCTTTACAGGAAATCATGATGTTCATGTTTATAATATCTTAATATCTTCATGCCTTATAGTTGCGTTTAGCAAATTCGAGCTGGATGATAATAGTTAAATGTTGTGATGATATATAAATTATATATAGTTGAGGTTTGCTATATAGTATATATGGCTTTATGTGAGTGAAAGTGAAGTTTTTCAGTTCATTTCAGTTCAACTATTTGAACACGACAGTAACACATGTTTTGACACGTAGACAACCCTGACATGCTATAAAAGCCTTGTAGAAAGATACTGATGATGATTTTCTAAAACTTTACCTCATTAAGGTACATCACTGGAAACACCAGCGTCCGGATCTTCTCAGTTTGACTGCAAAACAAAAAAGAAAATATGATTCTGATAGTATGTGATGATGTTAAGACCAGGGTTATTACAGTTAACTAAAATGGTAAAAAAAAAAAAAAAAAGTGCTTAAAATAAAATCTAAAGAAATCTTATTTTATTTCTGCTAGTTGCAACATTTCTTATTTTTGTTTAAAGTTGGGGTAAAATATCTGAATTAAAAAAAAAACATATAGATAGATAAAATAAAAATTTTAATTGGATAAAATAAAAAAAATAGAATAAAAATTAAAGTGAAACCAAAAAACTAAACATAAAAATAAAATCTATGATTTACACCCATCAACAAAGGTTTGAGATGAGCGCAATATTTATAAAATAAAATATAGAAATAAATAAAATGTAAAAACTTTAACTTATTTTAATTTTATTTCAGCTAGTTGCTATGGCAGCATTTCTTATTTTTGTTTAGTTTAACTTGAATTACTAAAATAACAACTGCAAAACTAAATAAACAAATTATATATAAAAAAAATAATAAAAATGACAAAAACTAACAACATTTTTTATAAAATTTAATTAATATGATTCTGATAGTATGTGATGATGTTAAGACCAGGGTTATTACAGTTAACTAAAATTATATTTAAAAAAAATAAAATAAAATAAAACATTTGTGTTGCTTGAAGTAAAATCTAAAAAAAAAAAACCTTCAAGAAATCTTATTTTATTTCTGCTAGTTGCAACATTTCTTATTTTTGTTTAAAGGTAAGGTATTTGAATAACAATAAAAATAAAAACTATATAGATATATAAAAAATAATAATAATAAATTACTAAAACTTTCTAAATTACTAAAAATTAAACTGAATCCAATAAACAAAACAAAAATACAATCTAATTCGAAATATTAACTACAACTATGATTTACACCCATCAACAAAGGTTTGAGGTAAGCGCAATATTTATAATATAAAATAAAAAATACAATTTACTTAAATTTTATTTCAGCTAGTTGCTATGGCAGCATTTCTTATTTTTGTTTAGTTTAACTTGAATTACTAAAATAACTACTGCAAAACTAAATAAACAAATTATATATAAAAAAAATAATAAAAATGACAAAAACTAACAACATTTTTTATAAAATTTAATTAATATGATTCTGATAGTATGTGATGATGTTAAGACCAGGGTTATTACAGTTAACTAAAATTATATTAAAAAAATAAATAAATAAATAAAACATTTGTGTTGCTTGAAATAAAATCTAAAAAAAAAAAACCTTCAAGAAATCTTATTTTATTTCTGCTAGTTGCAACATTTCTTATTTTTGTTTAAAGGTAAGGTATTTGAATAACAATAAAAATAAAAACTATATAGATATATAAAAAATAATAATAATAAATTACTAAAACTTTCTAAATTACTAAAAATTAAACTGAATCCAATAAACAAAACAAAAATACAATCTAATTCGAAATATTAACTACAACTATGATTTACACCCATCAACAAAGGTTTGAGGTAAGCGCAATATTTATAATATAAAATAAAAAATACAATTTACTTAAATTTTATTTCAGCTAGTTGCTATGGCAGCATTTCTTATTTTTGTTTAGTTTAACTTGAATGACTAAAATAACTACTGCAAAACTAAATAAACTACAATTATATATATAAAAATAATACAAATGACAAAAACACACAACAAAATGACTAAAACTAACAAAAATTAAAGTGAAAACAGCAAATACAAAAATAAATCTGTAACGGTTTATCAATGATCCATAGACACGTCAGCATTGGTTGAGGTTTGAGGCGAATGCAAACAGACACGCACGTCTTCAAGAAGAAGCCTCTCAGACGCACGCTATCAGATCAATGGGACTGTGGGAAGTCAGCTCACATCCGTTTTCCGCATGTTTTACGTTCACATGCTCATGAGGAGGATTTATCTGCGCTCTCAGATACATCGCATTTCAAAACCAAGCCAACAAGCTGTCGGCTCAAGTGGGACGTTCAGCAGCGTTGGGTCTTCGGTCACGTCATTGGACCACCTGACCCCCAAACAAACTCTGAAACTGATCCGCTCGCTTCACATCCTGAAATAACTCAATCACGCAGCTGTCAATCATTACAGCTGGACTGACCTACTTCAGGTCATGGTTCAGGAGAGACTTACGTAATGAGCTCATGTAAGCCTACAGCGGACTCAATCAGAAGTAGCTCTGGAGTTCCAGGCCTAAAAATATTCCATCTGTGGTCAATTTTACATTAATGGCATCAAACTATCTGCATTTGACAGTGAAAGAGAGTCAATCAAATGAAATGCATCAAAACCAATTAACTGGAGAACAACAGTCTTCAAATGACAAGTTAAAGAAAGTGAAATGACATTTCTGGTAAGTCCACAAAAAACCCCCACAAATACTAAAACCTGTGTTCAAACTGTGCTATATTAGACTATAAACACGCAAATCACACCACAAACTGTGTACATAGCGTGGCTATACAAAATTGCAGGTTTTGGAGAAATAAAAAATGTGTCAGATATTTTTCCACCTGTGACGCAATATTAACACCAACTAAATTCATGTAACAAACAAATAGAAATTTCTTATTTTTCTCAAATTTGTATTTTTAATTGAATTTTGTTGGTTTCAATATCACACTAAAGGTGGAAAAAGATCTGGCCTATCTCAAAAACCTGCAACTTTAACAGGGGTGTGTGTGGCCACTTTATTTCTAGATCTTTCTGTTTTCTGAAGGAAATGTTAGCAGTCCGTGCTAAACTAAGTCGGGTCACCTGAGAGACTCGTCCTCACCTGAACGCTGGGATCTGATGCAGGTAGACGTTCACCTGAACACGCTTCGCACCCCGAAGCAACAGTCCAGTGAGCTGAGAACACAAACACACAAAATCAACATCAATGCAAAAACAGCTACTGAGTGACTGCTGGCTAACATTATCCAATACTTGGTGTCCTGATTCACAAACCCCTGGATCTTTGTGAGATGATCAATATGCACACTATTCTCATACATTTATGATACATATATACTCATATACACACAATACTCATTATATGCACACTATACTCATACACACACACTATATGCAAACTATACCCATTATATACACACTATATGCACACTATACTCATATACACACACTATACTCGTTATATGCACACTATACTCATACACACACACTATATGCAAACTATACCCATTATATACACACTATATGCACACTATACTCATATACACACACTATACTCGTTATATGCACACTATACTCATACACACACACTATATGCAAACTATACCCATTATATACACACTATATGCACACTATACTCATTATATACACACTATACTAATTTTATGCACATTATACGCACATAATACTCATTATATGCACACTATACTCATTATATACACAATATATGCACACTATACTCATTATACACACACTATACACACTATTAGTTAAATTAGGGGTTTTCAAATGTTTTGGACTATATGTAGAATTGTTTTTTCTTACTGTTAAAAACAAGTGCTAGCAATAGTATAAAACAATCACAAATTATCTCAAAACAAAACAAAATTAAAATAAAACAAACATTAAAAATGAATAAAATCATAACAGTGTACAATTTAGATAACTTACATTTACTAACTTACATTAGAAAACTGAAAAATGTGAATGTGATCGAAATATTAACTTAAAATCTCAGGGAGGCTTCAAGAAAATATTTTAGCTTTAAAGGGTCCAGCTGATGGAAAAATTCCCTATTAAATGTTCCCTATCCCTACTAAGACAAACATACAAGACCAGGAGCATGCACGAAGAAAGTAAATAGAGTTTATTTTTATTTCATGTGAACTTAAGTTAAACAAAACTTTAAAACGGTGCTAGATTGGCTTTTACAAAATAGATATTTCCTGGTTGGATTCTGAAGTGAAAAGTATGTTAACACTCAAACATATTAGCTTATCTAAGAATGAATCCGGAGGGGTGTGTGTGTGTGTGTGTGTGTGTGTGTGTCCTACAGAACATCTGCAACCCATTTAAAGCTCAAGCACAAAAATGATGGGAACCGACATGAGAAAACATTGCATAAAGCACCACACACCTTCCCAGCAACAGAAGAGATTCCTGTCAGATGCACATAACAAAAGCCTGACTCTAACCTCTATCCTTCAGTAGAAATCAAATACATTAACAATATATATTATTCAGTGCCATCGTACGTGGTGGTATTACCATCTGATACCGTTACTGTAGCAGTTTTATAATGTAGAATCTGTTCCAACACCATACACAAACACCATAAAACACACACCCACAGTAAACTTTATCCCGCTGATCCGTGTAGATCCCTATCCCGCAGCGAAAGCACTTATCAAACACATATGTGCAGTTATTTAACATGCTCCTGGAAGAAACTAGTGCTCGAATACATGCAAAAATGTTTGATTTTATCAAATGTCTGCAGTCTTTTGGGTTTGTAGAAACTCGTTGATTGTAAACTAAACAAACATCCACCACACAAAATAACCAAAACAGCCACCGGTTGAATTACTAACTACCTGCCGGGAAGCGGGACGCGTCTGGACTAGCTGCAAATCAGATAACATCATCCTGACATCACCTGCTTTATCAGAGAGTGACTCAGACACAAGTGTAAAAGGTGTGTTTGTTCTGTCAGTAAATAATGAAATACAGATGCTGTTATTTATTCATTCACTCGCTCTGGATCTGTAGTATTGCAATCAGCCAGAAACCTGAGTTTTATAATGAAACTGCATCAATAGTACTGCAGACCTGAAGCTGAGTTTAGTGCGCTGATGCCCTCTTATGGCAGTGCAGATAAATACACACTATACATTATTTACACAGTATACTCATTATATACACACTATATACACACTATAGTCCTTATATGCACACTATATACATTATTTACATACTATACTCATCATATTCACACTATATGCAGACTATACTCATATACACATTACAGGCACACTACTCATTATCTACTCATTACATACACACTATACTCATTATCTGCACACTATACTCATGCATACACTATATACATTATAGACACTCTATACACATTATATGCACACTATACTCATTATTTACACGTTATACTCATATACACGCTATACTCATTATTTACACGTTATACTCAGTATATACATGCTATACTCATTATTTACACGTTATACTCAGTATATACCTGCTATACTCATTATTTACACGTTATACTCAGTATATACCTGCTATACTCATTATTTACACGCTATACTCATTCTATACAAGCTATACTCATTATACGTACACTACATACACTATAGACACGCTATACACATTATATGCACACTATACTCATTATTTACACACTATACTCATTGTATACAAGCTATACTCATTATACGTACACTATATACATTATAGATACGCTATATACACATTATATGCATGTTATACTCATTATATACACGCTATACTCATATGTACACTATACTCTAAGCTAAATCAAACGACTCTAAACGTTTATAAAATATAAAGGCATCTATATATTTTCATGAAAATGAAAAATTCTGAAAAAAAAACATTTAATGTAATATCGTAAAGACAACTTATTAAATCAATTATTTCTGAAATTAAATAACTGACTTATATAGTGTCACTGTACTAACACAAATTACTAAAATACTATCCGAAAAATATGTACTTTTATTAAGATAATAATGTATCTGTGATGAATACTTAAAACATTTTTTCTTTTTTTTTTTCCTTAGAATTTTTTTTTTCTCTTTTCACAAAACCATATACATTTCTGATTAGTATACATTTAGAAAGTAGATTGTTGTATGTAGTTGTAATATAATCAAAGCATATATTACATACATATGTGACCCTGCAGCACAAAAGCAGTGTTAAGTCGCTGGGGGATATTTGTAGCAATAGCCAACAATACATTGTATGGGTCACAATTATACATTTTTCTTTAATGCCAAAAATCATTAGGATATTAAGTAAAGATCATGTTCCATGAAGATATTTTGTACATTTCCTACCGTAAATATATTAAAACTTAATTATTGATTAGTAATATGCATTGCTAAGAACTTCACTTGGACAAATTTAAAGATGATTTTCTCAATATTTCGATTTTTTTGCACCCTCAGATTCCAGATTTTCAAATAGTTGTATCTCAGCCAAATATTGTCCTATCCTAACAAACCATACATCAATGGGAAGCTCATTTATTCAGCTTTCATATTATAATCTGATCTGTATTATATTATAATCTGTATAAAAATTTACCCGTATGACTGGTTTTGTGGTCCAGGGTCACATATAGGAAAAAGGGGTGCAACAAAAAAGTTTGGGAAACCTTGGCTTTTGCAAAATAGATATTTCTTGACTGGATTCTCATCACCGGTTGTTTTGAATCGTGTAGCTGTGACGATGGATGGAAACTGAAAGTGTGTCAGTCACTAATGTACTAATGAACTTCCACTTCCTTGTTAATCTGTGTTATCATCTGAACCTGCAACCGCAACGAGTGACACACGATGAGACATTAGTTTTGCTCGTTTTAGATTGTAGCTCCACCTACAGAGAAATCTCATCTGTCCAAAATCACCAATGAGACGTGCTTGTATCTCTCACATCTGAACACGACAGAGTTCTGCTGTCTGATGCTTGAAGATTATGTACAATGACACAAATGCATGTTACGCAGGTGTATATTTAGCAAATGAGAGGATAATTTTCTCTTTTATCACTGCTAATGTTAGATAAACAGGTGATTCTGGGTGCAGAGAGAATGTCTGCACAATAAAGAGTCACATGATTGCCATTATGTTGCACTTTTCCAAATAGTGAGTTGGAAATTCTCTACTTGGAAACGCATAACCATCAAATGCATTCTGACTGGCTGTGATTTTGCAGCTTCATGCAGCATTTTGCTTTCAGTGAGGAGAATAAAATGTGTTTCTGGTCAACTGGTCAAGACCTTTCCAGCAGGTTTATATGTGATTATACAGACATACCGGGTTGACGTCAATGACCGTCTCGTGCTCCTCCTTGTTGGGATTCATCCCGAGCACATCCTGGACGAATTTGTCGTCTGCCTGGTAGAAATGAGGGGAGGACATGATGATGGGCGCACCTGAGAGGAGACACACACGTTAGCGGGACGTCTTTAGATTTTTTTGCACCCTCAGATTCCAGATGTGCAAATAGTTGTATCTCAGCCAAATATTGTCCGATCCTAACAAACCATACATCAATGGAACGCTTATTTATTCAGCTTTCAGATGATGTATAAATCTCAATTTCGAAAAACTGACACTTAAGACTGGTTTTGTGCTCCAGAGTCACAAATGATGATTCACAAACAAGACACATGATTTGAATCATTCATGTCTGAAGCACAAGCAAAATGACTCAGCTTTAGTATTTAGTGTCAGGGGTTTGATCACATTAAGCACTAGTGATGATTGACACCAGTGCTGCTAACCTTGAAGAAAAGTCCAAAGTGGTCATCCGGCACAAACTGTTTGAGTTCTTTGAGCAGCGGATCTTCATAACCCCACAGCAGGTCACCGACTCTGAACGTCCTGAACATGCCGATGCCCTTAGCTTTCATCACGTCAGAGATGATGCGACTGACCAAGAGAGTATCTTTGAATTTCTCCATCGCGGTCTGAAGTAAAAAATAAACACAATTTTTCTGTGGAGCTAGGCAAGTTTTCCTCATCATCTGCCCCAATTTTTAGTGGAGTACCTCAGGGCTCTATTTTGGGGCCGCTTCTTTTTAACTTATATATGCGCCCTCTGGGGGATATTATCAGGAAGCACAATGTTTCGTTTCATTTATATGCTGATGATACGCAGTTGTACCTCCCACTAAAACCTGGTGATTCCATTCAGCCATTGCTGGAATGTATCTCGGATATTAAAAAATGGTTAACAAATAACTTTCTCCAACTCAATGAGAACAAAACAGAAATTATTGTTTTTGGTCCCAAAAAAATGAGAATGGATATTATTGAGGAGCTGGGCAATCATTTCCCCTCAGGTTAGAAACCTGGGCGTTATCATAGACTCAGAATTATGTTCGTCCAAACTAATTAATTCTGTTGTTAGGAACGGTTTTGATCAATTACGGGTCATCTCCAAACTTAAATCATTTTTGTCTTTTCAAGATTTGGAGAAGGTTATTCATGCTTTTATTACCTCACGTTTAGATTACTGTAATTCACTGTACTCAGGTCTTCCTCAGTCATCGCTTGCACGCCTCCAGTTGGTACAAAATGCAGCTGCAAGGCTGCTGACTGGGGCAAAGAAATATGACCATGTCACTCCAATTTTAGCTTCGCTTCACTGGCTTCCGGTCCATTTTAGAGTTCAGTTTAAGATTCTGCTGTTTGTTTTTAAAGCTCTAAACAATCAAGCTCCATCTTATCTTAAATATCTTACTATCCCTTTGTCATCTACCAGACTTTTAAGATCCACTGACAGGGCGACAGAGGCTTTTCAGTCACTGCCCCCCGTCTGTGGAACCAATTGCCTCTCACTCACTCTGGGAGGGCTCTACTATTGCCATCTCCAACATCATCTTAACCTCAGTCTTCAGTTTCTCTACCATCTTTTCAGGGACTCTATAAGGTTTCTGTCGGATTGGGGTAGGATCTTTCAAGTGGATACTATGGGTGATAACTTTAGTCAGCCCTGGTTTTTCTTGGAATAGCGATGGGAAAGACTGCCGTACCTTCACTAGCTGTTGTTGTTGATGATAACTCAGATGTGAATAGAGGCCAGGAGCTCCTCTAATGGTCGAACTGGTTCCATTTTCTGTGTTTCCTTTTTATTTTACATTGTTAAGCACTTTGGATAGCTTTGCTATGTTGAAATGTGCTATATAAATAAAATGTACTTACATAAACTTTGAATAATCTCTTCTCAGACTTCATTTCTTTATGCAACACATAATTTCTTATTTCGATTTTAGGGTGAAATGTGACATGCTTTCATGAGATTCACCCATTTAACATCTCATTTGCCAGTGCTTTTAGTAGGTCAGAGATCACATATCTCACCACAACAGGGATGTCGACCGTTCGGACGATGTCGTCCTCAGATCCCCGTGACATGTTGGGCTCAAACACGTACGTCTTTGGATTGACAGCCGCCACTCTGGTTCCGTTGTCCATAAATTTCACTTCCTCCTTCGGCCGATACTCCCTGAATGAGGAAACGCCCATGTGGTTCTTATTGACTTATGGAAATAACATTGACATTGACATTGACGAAACAACAGATCACGTGATTTAGCATAAATAAATACTAAGATCTGAAGCACTAAGGCGTTACGTGGTTTTAAAGAGCACAGAGCATCTGATGTGTCGTCAAACTTGTGCAAGAGAAAAGTGCAGCAAAAAGTGGTTTGATGTAGTTTAAAAAGCTTGAAGTTTAGAAGCAGTTTTAAGTTTAAAACTGTTTTAAAAGTGGTTTAAAGTTTGAAGCAGTTTTTAAAAGCAGTTTTAAGTTCGAAGCGGTTTTTAAAAAAGTTTTAAAAGCTTGAAGTTTGAAGCAGTTTTTTAAAAAAGTTAAGTTTTAAAAGCTTAAAAATCTGAAGCAGTTTTTGAAAGCAGTTTTAAGTTTAAAGCAGTTGTAAAAGCAGTTTTAAGTTTTAAAAGCTTGAAGTTTAGAAGCAGTTTTAAGTTTAAAACAGTTTTAAAAATGGTTTAAAGTTTGAAGCAGTTTTAAAAGCAATTTTAAGTTTGAAACCATTTCGAAAGCAGTTTTAAGTTTGAAGCAGTTTTTAAAAGCAGTTTTAAGTTTTAAAAGCTTAAAGTTTAATGCAGTTTTAAGTCTGAAGCAGTTTTTGAAAGCAGTTTTAAGTTTGAAGCAGTTTTTAAAAGCAGTTTTAAGTTTTAAAAGCTTGAAGTTTGAAGCAGTTTTAAGTCTGAAGCAGTTTTTTAAAAAAGTTTTAAGTTTTAAAAGCTTAAAGTTTAATGCAGTTTTAAGTTTAAAGCAGTTGTAAAAGCAGTTTTAAGTTTTAAAAGCTTGAAGTTTGAAACAGTTTTAAGTTTGAAGCAGTTTTTTAAAGCGTTTTGAGAGCCGTTTTAAGTTTTAAAACGTTTAAAGCAGTTTAAAGTTCTAAGCAGTTTTAAGTCTCTTCGACAGATTGCTGTGGTTTCAAGGGTTTTCTTTGTGGCTTCAGATAAACAAATACAGAAGCCCTAAAGCGTTCCATGGTTTTCAGGAACACAGAGCATCTGATGTGTCATCAAGAGAAAGCTTCAGCAAAAACACAGTCACGTGAATTGCTTTCCCGTCCGTCACACATCGAGAGGACAACATGACGAGCATGTTTTTAGCGGCATCACCGACCTGTACGTGTACGGGCCGATCTGCAGGACGAAGGGTTTGTCTCCTTCCAGAACCTCTGCAGGATTGGTCAGATTAAAGAAGTAAAACTGCATGTAAACCGGCGGCGGGGGGTCTCGCCACACCGAAAATGCCTCCGTTCCATTTTCCAGAACTACTTGCTGTGAGGGAAAGTGAATTGTGGATAGAAATGACCAAAGTTATATTTACAGACTCGTGGTTTCTAAAACAATTTAGGAAGAGAAACACAAACTTCATAATATCATATCCTACTCAAAGTGTACATTTATACAAATCTGTGCAAATGACAATAACAATCATTTAAAAAATAACAATAACAATAAAATAAAAGTGTTTTCTGGACATGGTATCATTATATAATTTCTCTCCTTGAAGAAGCATATGAATATGATATTAATTCAATATCATATTAGTATACATAAAGCGGTTTAATTGTGTCAATATCCTTTTAAACAATCTTTAATCTAAACTCAGTCAACTGTATAAAATGAAAGTTCATAATAATAACGCTGGTTATAATAAAAAATACCATATTTTGAACATATACCAGAGCATTTCCACAAAAATATCATGTAAATATCATGATGAATGAATATGGAGTATATTAACATTTTATAATATTAGAATTGTGATATCATGATGCTAATATTATGTGAATTGAAAATACTACTTCTACTACTACTAATAATAATAATGCTTGATTTATGCAATATTATTATATAATATAATACAGTAAAACATATGTTATAATACACACTATAATACTACATATATGTTTGATTATAAAAAGCATAATAACATTTAATCTGTAATCTAAACTGTATAAAAAGACATTTCATAATGAGGCTAGAAAACTATTTTGAACATGTACCATGGCATTCACATAAATAGAGCGTAAATAAAACGCTCTAAAAAATTAAAATGCTGTACATTAATGTTTCATAATATTGCAATCATGGTATCATGATGGTAATATTATATTAGTTGAAAATAATAATAATAATGTTTAATTTATATAATGATATATATTTTATTCTAATATAATACATAATATTACATTATAATGCATACTACAATTTGCATATATATTTGTCACTAATATAAAACATTATATAGTATAATCTTTAAACTCTATAAAATGAAATTTCATAATAATGCTAGAAAAAATATTTTGAACATAGCAATTGCATAATGTAAATATCATGGCAAATGAAAATGGTGTATATTAAGGGAGGAGATTACTACTAATAATAATATTATACAATATACTAAGACATTATAATATAATAAAATTGAATATATTATATCTCTCTGCTGCATATAGACAGACTGCACATAGACAGTCACAGCATATGAAGAACACAACATAGATCTGATATGAAAACACACTCGCTGACCTCTTTTATTGTGTTGTTTATGAGCTTCTGGAAGACCTGCGCCAGAGCCATCGCGATCCCGGCGACTAACAGCAGAACGCAGAGGACCCCTGCGCCGTAAACACAGCACGAGCGGAGCAGCATGATCCGGTTCGGTTCGGTTCGACACAGCACGAGCGGAGCAGCATGATCCGGTTCGGTTCGGTTCGGACAGAGCAGGACACGGACACACACAGCAGCTGAACTGGGCTGGGAGTGTCTACACGAGTCAGGAACTGCGCAGCACGCAGAGCGCGTGTGTTCCTGCAGGGGGCGCTCCGACGATCCTCCATAGAAACCCATTCAAAACACACGACCGGTTTCGTCTTATTACAACGCGTGTATACTCTGGAAAGTGTGATCATTTAAAAACATGAATGCTAAAGATTATTACATGCCATGCAAAAAAAAATACGCTAATGCATTCTATACAAAAAAGAGGTATATTAACGCTGTAACGGGCATCACGTGACACACGGAATCAATAAATAACACACGAATAATACATTTTATGACTTTTAAATTGCAAATACATAGTAAAGAATTCAAACAGCTATTATTATAAATTATTACTGATACAGTGGACCTGATGGATTTGCGACACGCCCATATTGAGGCGTGTTTACCATCCTGTATCTTATTTTATTTCTAGCAAGAAATGAAAGAGCCGTCGCCCACTCATGAGTCATGCACTTTTATAAGATTACTCCTTCATTTCTGGCCTGTGGATGTTCACGAGAAGCCTCACTCATTAGTCTCCACATCCGCCTGAATTACTGTAACATAAATCAATTTTAACCACCGCTTTCCTGTCAAATATACATGTTGTCTGTAGGAGATAAATCAATCATTTCGGGTTGTTTCCAAAATCCAGACCATTTCGCTGATGTAGTTTGAGTGGAGCGGCTAATGAGCGTAGAACGTTTTGAGGTCATGTGACCCAATGCGCATGCGCAGTTCGCATGAGCTCGTCTGAGTGGAGCAGCTAGCGAGCATAGAGCATGTAGAGAAGGTCGCGTGACTCGGTGCGCATGCGCAGAGCCGCTGGCGGTTCAGTCTTGTTGATGTTTTGCAGACGCGTGTTTGTACGAATTCTTCGAATCTAATCACCTTTAATTTAATTTAATTTAATTTTCAGTTCGTGATCTGCTCTGGCTTCATCAGGTGAGCTTCTGTTCTGTAAACCCACCTGTGATGCAGTAAAGTATATATATATTTTAATTATTATTATTATTATGAATGATATCTTTATTTCAGACTCAAAAATGCAACTTTTAAACATTAATTTGTTGACTTTTTGTATTATTACTCTTTTTATTATTATTACAAATGTCATGCAACTTTTATACATGCTTTAATTTGTTGCTTTTTTAAAAATTATTATTATATTATTTTTTTATTACAAATGTCATGCAACTTTTATACATGCTTTAATTTGTTGAATTATTTTAATTATTATTATAATTTTTTTTTTTATTACAAATGTCATGCAACTTTTATACATGCTTTCATTTGTTGATTTATTTTAATTATTATTATTATAATTTTTTTATTACAAATGTCATGCAACTTTTATACATGCTTTCATTTGTTGAATTTTTTTTTTATTATTAATTATAATTTTTTTATTACAAATGTCATGCAACTTTTATACATGCTTTCATTTGTTGAATTTTTTTTTTATTATTACTCTTTTTTTTTTTATAATTTATTTATTATTACAAATGTCATGCAACTATTATACATGCTTTCATCAGTCAAAAGGCGCGAGAACCCCGAATTATAAAATGCATAATGTGTGTTGATGACATATTAATGTAAGTGTATTATGTGTTTTTGCAGAGCGCTATGAGTCGAGCGTCTGAAGACGGTCTGATGTCTCCGGAGTCGAGCGTCACATCACTGCTGGCCACATCAGGACTCCTGCAGAGCTCCTTACACCCGGAGCCCGTCCCCAGCATCAAATACAGAGACAGACACTACGCTTCTGCCTCAGAGGCGCTGGATGCGTACATCACTGACTTCCAGAGCAGTCTGCGGGGCTCTGACACGACGACGGGGAAACTTCAGCTGCCCAGAGAGAGTTCCAAACCTCATCCCAGAAACAGAGACGGTAAATCAGAAGGATTTCGTTACGTTAATACAAATCAATTCACGTTTTAAGGAATATTCTAGGACTGGGTTATGTACAGCATAAACTCAGTCACCACAGACAGCTGTGAGAAACTCTATTTAATCTGGAATATTAGTTAAAATAATAGATACTATTATAGTTTTAATTCATATTTTGAATTCATTTTTGTTTTTAGTTAAACTTTTAGTAATTTTGTTGTCAGTTTTATTCTTTTTTTGTGTAAATATGTCTATATAGTACAATGAGGATTGTACTTTTTTCAATTTTAGTTTTGATAGTACAAACAAACAAAATAATTACTAAAAAAAAAAAAGAAAAGAAGTAAAAAGCTTAATGAAAATGAGAAATGTTGCCTTGGCAACTAGCTGAAATAAAATAAGAAATATAAAATAAAATTGACTTTTATTTCAGGTAAAGGACAAATATTTTTTATGATTTTAGTTAACTATAAAAACCCTGTTTAACAGTGTTTAGCATAATTAATATTTAATTTATTATTTATTAACACTGTATTATTATTATTCATTAATATTTTCCACTTTATTTTAATTTTGTTGTGTTGCTGTTGTTTTTTTTTTTTTTATGTCTTTTAAGAAATATTACTATTGTAATAACACTATTTCTTTATTAATAAATTATGATTTTTTTTTTGATATTTTATTTTATTTCAATCAACAGAACTGTATTTGTATAGTTTTACCAGCAGCACTAAATTGACATGATCTCATGCATAACGTCCCGTGTTTTTATGTGCTTTGACGAGTGCAGTACTAAAGACGAGTTTGACGGATGAAGAGCTGATCTTCTTAAACATTCCCGTCCGGAACAGAGACTCGGATCGGCTCAGTATGGCCACTGACGACCTCCTGGCTCTCCCAAATGACGGCTCTCTCCCCGTGACCCGCACCTCGGCCCTCCTCTCCCGCTCTGGGAGCTTTCCGTTGGGATTGAGCTTCAACTGTAGCTCCGGGTCGCACTTACGGCCCGTTCTGGCTCATAAACACTGCATGCGGCGTCCCGTTCCACCGGTGAGCAGGACATCCCTCCCTGTGGACCATATAATGATGGGCGGTTTGCAGTCACACGGTCAAGCTCCTCCCCCCAACATCCCGCCAGCCAATCGGACGCATCCACCCGACACGCCCAGGTCCAGTCACCTCCCGCGCTGGATGACCAGCCAGAAATCCGAGATGGATTTTTCCGGGATGACCAGCGTTCCTGAGCTGAAGTACCCGGCGTGGCTGAGACAGTGTGAAGAATCCTCAGACGATCATCTGCTTCCTCCCAGAGTTCCTTCATGGGTCGGAGAACTGGAGGAGTCCAGTGGAGAGCGTCAGTCGGACACTAAAGGTCAGCGAGATGTCAAAGGTCACGCAGGAGAGCCGTACGGATCCCAGTCCATCGCTCAGTGCAGCCTGAGAGAGCTGCGTTTACAGTCCGAACAGAAACTCGAGGCAGCGAAGAGAGGACAGATTCATGAAGGACAACTTTTCAAAGGTTTGCACAACTTTTCAAAACAATATTTCATCCAGAAATTGAATTGAAATGATGTATTATTATGTACTCACCTTCATGCAGTGTTATTTTAGTGTCATTAATATACTATTTATAGTACATATTAATATTTGAATATTTAATTAATAATTTATTTAATGAATATATTTATTTTTCTAATGAATAAATAATTAGTTTAATATTTTAGTTTCTATTATTTTTATTTAATTTTACTACTTCAACTTAAACTAAATGAAAATTAGAAATGCTGCCTTGGCAACAAACTGAAAAAAAAAATATATATATTATTTCAGTAATTTATTAACATATTAAAATATTTAATTAATATTTTGAATGTTTTTATTTTTATATTTTCCATTTTTCCATTAATTTTAGTTCAGGGTTTAGCTGTGCTTTATGGGTTTTAATAGTTTTTCCATTTTTTGAATTCATTTTTATTTAAGTTTTAGTCATTTTTGTATTTCAACTTTAACTAAATGAAAATATTATTTCAGTAATTTATTCATATGTTTATATATTATATTATAATTAAGTATAATTAAATTATTTATTTAGATTTTTAATATATATATATATATATATATATATGTATATAAATATATATTTAATATTTATATATATTTTTGACTGTCTTCATTGGTTACATTTTTTTTTTAGTAATTTTAGTACTTCAGCTTAAACTAAATGAAAATTAGAAATGTTGCCAATGTTGCAACTAACTGAATTTAAAGTTTTTATTTTATTTTATATTATTAATGAAAATGATTTTGAATAGTTTTAGTTATTGACACAATACTGCCTCCATGTGATTCCAGATAAAATGGTCACTGGCCTCTTGTGCTTCTCTGTTTAGATGATAAGATCGGTTCTCTGATCTTAAGAGCCGAGCAGGCGTTACACTGGTCTTCTGTTGCTCTCTGTGAGCACAACAGTTCAGGAGATACGGAGGACGCTCTGGACGCTGACCGATCCTGGGACAATCCACCTGTGACGTTGTGAGTGATGCGAAATGCTGATATTTTCACATTGAATATCAAGAAAAATGTGTCCCCCAATGCCAAGGTCATGGGTTCGATTCCCAGGGAATGCATGCATGCTTTGAGTGTAACTTGCTTTGGATAAAAGTGTCTAATAAATGCATAAATATAAAGCGTGACCTACCGTCTGTAGTAAATCTCCAGTGCCAGTGGGCGGCGCTGAGGAGCCTCCAGCACCTGAAGAACTTCAGAGAAGCAAGGTACAGCATGTGACACTCATTATTATGTCTTTTTGTTTATGTATACTCAATGCTCTTCAGTGTAAATCTGTCTGTCTCTAGTCTGCAGCTTCCTGTTCATCAGGATACAGCAGCAGAAAGCATCCTGGTCCGGTGGAGGCGCTCAAACACATGCTGTTCCGCCTGCAGGCCGTCGAGCACAAGATCAGCCAATCACACGCCTCCGGTGACGCCAAAACCTCTGCATCTTCATCCGCAGAGCTGGAGAGAGACACACCGGAGCAGGTGAGCGGAAAACCAGTGTTGCTCACGTTATAACTGACAAAGCTGTCCGCTTCATTGTCTAGTTTATCACATTGTGGCAAATTCTGTTAATAAGAACGGTATAACAATGACTTTTTTTATATTTTTTTAATGTATCAGGCAATATACAAAACAAGAAACTGATTCATATATGTGACCCTGCAGCACAAAAGCAGTGTTAAGTCGCTGGGGGATATTTGTAGCAATAGCCAACAATACATTGCATGGGTCACAATTATAGATTTTTCTTTTATGCCAAAAATCATTAGGATATTAAGTAAAGATCATGTTCCATGAACATATTTTGTAAATTTCCTACCATAAATATATCAGAACTTAATGTTTGATTAGTAATATGCATTGCTAAGAACTTCATTTGGACAACTTTAAAGATAATTTTCTCAATATTTAGATTTTTTTGCACCCTCAGATTCCAGATTTTCTAATAGTTGTATCTCGGCCAAATATCGTCCTATCCTAACAAACCATACATCAATGGAAAGCTTATTTATACAACTTTCAGATGATGTATACATCTCAGTTTCTAAAAAATGTACCCAGGTTTTGTGGTCCAGGGTCACAAATAAGCAATATTTTTTGTACAGA